GCCGTGCATGTGGCTGATTCCAGTTTGAATCCCCATTTGTTTGGGAGCATATGGTCACCAGGAGTAAGCCCTAAGCACAGAGCCAGGAGTAAGCCCTGAAGAACAGTTGGGTGTAACAGAGAGGGGGAGGGGGCGGAAATTAAGTAGATAAGTGGAATAACATCAGGAAACCACTAGCCCCAGTGTTCAACTCAGAGCCAATCACCAAATAGTGTTTGTTGAATTGGAAATCATGAGAAACAGGAACTGACTCAATGCCCATTCTTCACCAATAAGCAGGCAGAGTTTTGAGACTGGGGTTCTGTGCTGGACTCAGCTCATTCCAGGGGCTGGCAAGGTCAGATCCCCTCCACTTTGCTCTAGTGACCTTCCCAGAAGCAGGCTTTTCCTCCTCCCCCTTCATTCATTAGCATTCACAGAAAGCAGTGTGTTATATAAAAGACTGAAGCATCTCCTAATTACAAGTCTTAGGGACTCACATGACTCAACCGGCAGCGGACAATTTTGTTTTGTAGGAAGGACGGCAAAGTTACAAGATTTGCAACATGACTAAAACCCCCGAATTTAGAGTCAGCAATTTGGATTAGGGCCCAGGTGTGGACAACACTCTCAGAATTGTCCTGGACAAATGTTTTTCTTCCTTGAGTCTTAGCATTGTCATCCAAGAGATGCATCTAATTCTAAGAAGGGTGATCAGCTTTTCTTGGTGACCCAGCTCTGGAAGACTTCCCAGAAATCTCAGTGCGTGACTTTCTCCGCTTGAATCAGAAAAGTCCTAGAAAACCAGGGCAAGTTGGCCATCCTAAACCTTCCCTTCTTTAAGACTTCATATTTTTAGACTGATTTTACCTGTTGGTTACGCTTTTTTTCATTGAAATACCCTGCCAACACTGGCTTTCAGCACAAGAGCATTTATGATTTATATGCAAGCATTCTGGGGTCATTTCATTAGCATCCTGGCTCTGCCATCTTTATCATCTTAACTTTCATTCACATGACTGTCAGTCTGGGGTAATAACTACTGCAATTCTGGGCATTACACTTCTATTCTAGGTGGAGATGGAAAAGGAGTGAAATCAACTTCTGTTATTTTTACCAGGAGAGTGAAAAAGTTTTCAGAACTTCCCTAGCTGGGTTTTGTCTGATTTCATTGTCTAGAATTCAGTCACAGGGTCACTTGTCGCTGCAAGAGAAGCTCTTTGTTTCATTTTCTGGCCACTCCTGTCAGTGTTCAGGGCTTACTCCTGCTTCTGTTGTCAAGGCTTATTCCAGGGACCATATGTCATGCTGGGGATCAAACCCCAGTCAACTGTGTGCAAGGCTTGCCCCTTAATCCCCTGTACTATCTTTTCAGTCCAAGAGAAGTGTTTTTTAACTTCATGAGTGGTACTCAGCAAGGAAGGGGCCCCAGAGGGTACCAGCTGATTAATGGATGTTTCTAGGGTTACTTGGGGATCAGGGATGACATATCAGAAGTGCCAGGGAGAGACTCTTGATACAGACTAGTAAGTTTTGAGAATTCCTGGAAAGCCCCAGGCTTTCAGAAAAAGTTCTGAAAACTTTTTCACTCTCCTGATAAAAATAAAAGAAGTTGATTTCACTCCTTTTCCTTCTCCACCTAGGATAGAAGTGTAATGCCCCAGAACTGTAGTAGTTATTATCTAATGAGGAAGTTAGATATAGGTACGTGTAATAGGAAATCCCCCTACCTCGTGAAGCTCAGGACCCTAGAGTCAGGTGTGTTGAGAAGAAAAAGGAAGTGAAGACTGAGGAGAAGCATAGGCTGTGACTAGCTTTGCTCTCCTCAGGGCTTACAGATGTGTTTAGGGGAGACTTTCCAGATCTTCACAACTGAATACTCGAGGCCCTTAATGTGAACGTATGCCTAGGGAGCTCAGGACTGTCTGCACGAGATGTCTTGCTCTTTCTGCATCCTCCCTCAGGAAGCTCCCATGCCCAGATGCTATGTGGGGTGGAGCTGCAGCAGAGCCCCGGCAAGAGACACTGGGGCACCTCCACAAGTGCTTTCTGCTCCCTGGGAGGAGCCCGTGGGGGTTCTTCTAGTCCCACACAGCTGTGCTGCAGGATCTCTGCCAAGCAGGACTGCATCTTCTTAGAATAATCATCACTTTCATTTATTGAGAGGCAACTCATGCCCAGAACGGCACTCAGATTTGTGCCCAGGGACTTTATGTGAATTTTGGGAATTTGGTGCTTTCCCTGACTCAAGGGAATGGAGGCTTGGCTGTGGCTTGTCCAGGCTCGTGAGCCACTGTTCAAAGCCAGGCCAGGCTGACTCACCTTTCTTCTTGTAACAGTCTGATGTCTGAGTGGTTCCCCCAGACTTTGTTCAACCCCTGCCATGTTGTGGGTGTTCTATAACACATGGGGGGCATTGTCATTCCTTCCACCAGTTAACTCCTTTTCTTTAGGATTTCTTTTTTGTTTGTTTTGCTTTGGGGCTGCACCTGGCAAGGCTCAGGGTTTACTCCTGACTGTGAGCTCAGGGATTTCTCCTGACAGGGCTCACAGGTCCATTTGGGTAGCCAGGGATTGAACATGGGTCAGCCAAGTGCAAGGCAAACACCCTGCCCTCTGTACTATCTCTCTGCCCCCCCTCCCCCCTTTGTGATTTCTACACTCAGCTGTGTGTAAAGAAAAAGACTGTATCCTCACCCCCTTTTCAGCTTAGTGCTGGCACATGTTGGAACATATTTGCGAAGTGACTGTTAGATAAAGAAGATACTAGCTTCCCAGGCCTTCTGGTATTTGTACTGATAGGGGAAATGGATCTGTCAACAAACGGGTCTGCTGTTTTTCAGAGATTATTTGATTTAACCCTCTATTTCTCTAAGTGACAGGCTGAAAGCAGGAGAGATGAAATGATTTCTCTGAAGCTCACAAGCTAAGTGAGACAGAGCCTCTACTCTGCATAGAGGCAGCTGTGGCCACAGCAAATACTTTTTCAGGGAGATGGCAGCTAGAGCTGTGCATTTTGGGGTCAGGTTTTAACAGCCTTTAGAGGATCCCTATTTATGTTTGGGTTGGGTGGATGGGCTCTGACTTTTTCTGGGATGAGTTTTAGTTTAGCTCTGAAGAAGAGCAGCTTTCTTTTGGAAGAAAGCATCAGTTCGAATCTCAAGCTAGAACTAGTTTGAGAATTTTCCCAACCATTTAAATCTCCTCTCTTGTGAGGCGCAAATAATTCTTAATCATCTTCAGTTGCTGTGACCAGCGGTTTCCTCTGTCTTAGCAAACAGTAAGCATACCACGCAGTGAGTGCTAGATTGCTCTTGGTATGGTTATGTTGTTATTGTAATCAAACAGGGAGCACGCGGAAGCAGAGTATTCAGAATATTTAACATTTCCCTTCATCTTGCCTGGGAGCAGCTCCACAGCTAAAAAGGTTGTCAGTCCTGAGTTTTGGCTCTGCACTGCCACTCTGCTTGCTGCTTCTCACCCCCTTCTGTCTATTTTTGCCTTCCAGCCTTACAACAACCTCCCTGTTGGCTCAGATGAGCAGCTTGTTAGGGTTAGAGGGCTGACCTGCTGGAGAGCTCTCCTGACACCAGCGAGCCTTCACTCTGCCTGGGCAGGGAACCACCTGCCCCTGTCAGCTGATAATCATCAGAGCTGCTGCGAGTTGGACTGGCAGGGAAGGGAAGGGTTTCCCCTTGCCTTCCCAAAGTGGTTTTGTTGTTGTTGTTGTTGTTTTAATTGCAGTGGGGCTGGAGCGAATAGCACAGCGGGTAGGGCATTTGCCTTTCACAGGGCCGACCCGGGTTCGATTCCTCCATCCCTCTCGGAGAGCCCGGCAAGCTACTGAGAGTATCCCACCTGCACCGCAGAGCCTGGCAAGCTCCCCATGGTGTATTCAATATGCCGAAAACAGTAACAACAAGACTCACAATGGAGATGTTACTGGAGCCCGCTCAAGCAAATCGATGAACAATGGGAGGACAGTGCTACAGTGCAGTGGAGGCAGTTTGATACTGATTGTTAAGTTCTTAAAGGATTGGTGAGCCACTTGTTAACTTGTCATATATCCAGAAAGTTTGTGAGTCAATTGGCAAACTATTGGCATTTTAGAAACTTAAATTTTTTAAAAAATTTATTTATTTATTGAATCACTGTGGGAAAAGTTACAAAGCTTTCAGGTTTAGGTCTCGGTCATGCAAATATCAATCACATTTCCCTTTACCAATACTTATTTTTCACCACGAAGAACCCCAATAAACGCCCACCCCCACCCCTCCCAATGCCTGTGAGGCAGATGGATTCTAGTTAACACTCTATCTACTTTGACTAGATTCATTGTTTCGATAAAAGATGCACCATTGTTATTTAGAGTTTACCACCCCCCCCCAAATCAGACATGCTGAAAAAGCGTTGTGAAATGATTTGCTTTCTACAGCTGGGTTCAAGAATTAAATGATGTCGCGCGGCAGGGATAGTGGCCGCGCGGTTTTGGATTTCTGCTATTTTACTTATTAACCCTGGAAGTATTTCTGCTGAGAGTCAGATAATTAAGAGATTGGTTTCTGTGCTCTGGAGCCATGGCCGTGCCGGAGAGCCGCTCGTGGGGGGCAACTGGTGACCTCGGTAGGGCGTGAAGGATGAGCTGGGAATGCCCCCTTCCCATGAGGTTTTAGTCGCTCCACCATGACCAGCTCATACCTGGCTTTCCACAAAGCTCCCAAGCGGCTGCCTTCTTTCTTTCCAGAGGGAAGAAGGCGGAAGGGACCAACACCCTTTCCCCTCCGGGCAGACATGGTGGCATGGATTAATGCATAGTCCGTTCACTATTCTGCTGCAAGCTGCTGGGCTCTGCATTAAGTCCTTGTGCTTCTGTAGCCATGGCTGTGCCAGAGAGCCGCTCGTTGGTGGCAACTCATGACCTCGGTAGGGTGTGAAGGACGAGCCGGGAATGCCCCCCTTCCCATGAAGTTTTAGTAGAAACTTAAATTTTTAAATGCAAAAAAAATTTTTTTTCCACCAGAACCACTCAGACTGCATCCTCTCTCTTTCCATCTTCCAAAGGAAGAGAAGAATGAGCATCAACAGTAAAAAGCAGTTGCAAAAGCGACACCTTGAACCAGCTTCATGCTCAGGAGAGGATGCTCTGGTTCCTCTCATGATTTTGGGTGCTCTACACTGTCAGAGAAACTTCTCTAGAAACGCATATAGAAATGATCCCTGAAAGTATCACCTATCACCTATCACCTATCATCCCATTGCTCATTGAGTTGCTCTAGCGGGCGCCAGTAACATCTCCATTCGTCCCTGACACTCGCTAGTGTAGCCCGGTGGCGTCTGCCTGCTCCAGGAACACGAAGAGCATCAAACCATTCGTTCAGGGTCTTGACAAAGAAGTCTTACCATCTTGTAGGTGGGCGGCCAGGCATTCTTTTGAGGTCCCGTGGAATCCAGTCATTAACGGCTCTAGTCCAGCGGTCATCTCCAAATTGCTTGAAGTGTCTGGCCCATCTGATTTTTGACTCCTTGGCAAATGAGACAGCGTCCCTGATCCTTGATTGTTGACAGAGGTCAGAACTCCGGATTCTTTCTCTCACTTGAGTGAAACATGATATTCCAAGCATAGCTCTTTCGATTCCTCTTTGGGAGACCCGAATGAGCTGTTCTCATCCTGTTTTTGTAGGGTTCAGGTCTCTGAGACATATATTAGTGCAAGAAGAACAGTGGAGTCGAAAAGATGTGCCCAGAGCTGAGGTTCTTCGTCCTCTGAAAATATACTTTTAAAAGTATTTTTAGCATTTTAGTAGTTTTATTTGTTTATTTATTTATTTGTATAGCGATAGCACAGCAGGTAAGGTATTTATTTGCCTTGCACGCGGCGGACATGGCCGACCTGTGTTCAATTCCTCCGCCCCTCTCGGAGAGCCCGGCAAGCTACCAAGAGTATCTTGTCCTCACGGCAAAGCCTGGCAAGCTCCCCGTGATGTATTCGATATGCCAAAAGCAGTAACAACAAGTCTGACAATTTGTTGTGAGATGTTACTGGGCCCGCTTGAGCAAATCGATAAACAATGGGAGGACAGTTCTACAGTACTTTCCTCTGAAAATATGCTTCCTCTGAAAATATACTTTGTCCCTGAAAGTATAGTCTTGCGAAATATTTTTAATTTCCCTTATGCCCTTCCTCTGTTGTTTGTTGCTGCAAGGACTGGGGTTTGGATGTGATCATGAGTGGCTCAAGTGTTGGCATACTCACGTAAAATTCTTGCTGTGGTTGTTGCATTTCTGAATGTGTTACTTGCTGTGGGTGGTTGAGTTTCTTTAGCAGTGTTTGCTAAAACTTGTTCTTGTGCTCACTCACACTCCGGGGGCCGTGCTCATTGGGATGGCTGCAGTGCTCACACGAGCACTCCAAGTGGTTTCCATCGCTCTGCTTGCACATCTGTTGAGTCCTGCTTCTTGCACACCCCTGGCACAGTGCAACTGTAAAATTATTTTCAGTGCAGGGGATCTCAGACTGCAGAGCTGCCAGGATCATGCTTGTTACATTGAATTGGTGACTTTATTCTTGAGAAACTTGTGTTTTAGTCACTGAGCCATTTCCCAGTCCCTGGTAGTTTGAAAAAACTGTGGTTGGAGTATTAACATCAGTGAAATTGGCAAGCACTGCAAACCAGGATACTGGTTTCTCCTGTAGCCATAGTTTTACCAAACCAGCCCTGAACAAGTCCTTCTCCTAAAATTGCTAGCTGAGGGGCAGAAGACATGATTCTGGACTTCATATTTTGTTCAACATACATTTTTGAAGATTAATTCTTTAAGGGGCTGTATCGACAGTACAGCAGGTAGGGCATTTGCCTTGCACGCGGCTGACCCAGGTTTGATTCTCAGCATCCTATATGGTCCCCCAAGCACTGCCAGGAGTGATTCCTGAGTGCAAAGCCAGGAGTAACCCCTGTGCATCGCCGGGTATGATCCAAAAAGCAATAAATACATAAATAAATAAATAATTCTTTAAATCATGAAAGAAATGCAAGTTTTTTAGGGAGCATTTGAATAATAGTGGACAAGTAAAAACTAAAATGTAAACTCCATTTTTCCCCTTTCTAGCTGCAGGGATCACTACTGTTCCTATGTATGCGCACACTGATTCATTGAATAGGTAGAACTTGAAACAAGAAATATCTTTATTTTTTCTCATACCTCTGCTACTACTCTCTATCACATATATAGAATATTACTTGCATTTCCCCTGAAGACTAGCTCAAACAGACACAATAGCTTTCTGGTCACTTTTAGTCATTGAAAAAAAACAGTGTAGTCCAGTTCAATTTAAGACTTAAATGTTACACCCAGTGCAAAGTTTTTCTCATCTCAGAAGCCAGTGGGAAAGGAGTCATTCATTCTCCTTTTATCTCCTCCCTATGGGGACAGAGGAAGAAGGATAACATTCTTTTCATTTAGTGGCTGCATTTTATAGTTCTCTGCTGGCTGATGTGGTTAGCCTAAACACCCGCACCACGGCAGCATGCTCTTGGGATGCTTGTCCAGGGAACTCCATATGGGGTCTATTTTCCTGCTGGCTGACATGTGACCCTCCTAAGTTCTGCCTCTAGATAAACCCATGGCCTCTTACTGCTGGAATCTCTTCACTCCACTAGGCTGCCTTCTTGGGTGGGGTCACATCAAAAGAGTTGCAGTGTGACCACTTCCAAGCTGTAGACTGGGTGCTTCCAGAGGACCCACCCAAGTCCTCATATACACTCTTGCCCAAAACAGACTCAGCTGCTGACCCCTTGCTGCTTGCCTTCATCATGTCCAGTTCCAGACAGTAGTAGGCAGGCAGTACATTAGCTGGCTTTGGGGGGTGGGGGGTGGGGGAAGGCAGGGAGCAATTGGTGCCACAACAACTTCTTCAAGGGTCACTCCTGATGGGGTTGGGAGGACCTATAGGGTGTATGGGATTGAACCAGGGTCAGCTGTGTGCAAGGGAAGCACTCCACCACCTGTACTATCACTCCACTCCTGCTGTTGGCTTGTTTTGAGTGACAGCTCCCACTGCCCATCTCCCTCCCCACTTTGAGAAAAGAAAAAGAAATCATTTACATAACCTAGATCTTGAAATCTTCAGTCTAAAGACCCTCCTTTGTGTTTTGTCAAAAGATTTTTTATTGAATCACTGATAGACCCTTAAAAAGCTGTTCATGATTAGATTTTAATCATTCAGTGTTCCAACACCCATCCCTTCACCAGTATATGTTTTCCAGCACCAGTGTCCCCAGTTTCCCTCCCATCACCCCCCGCATGTCCCCCAGCCTGCCTCTTTGGCAGGCACTTTCATTCTTTCTCTCTCTCTCTCTCTCTCTCTCTATATATATATATATATTATGTATATATATTCCAACACCAATCCCACCCCCATTGCACTTTCCCACCACCACTGTTTCCAATTTTCCCAACCACCTTTGAGCCCGCCCCCATAGCAGGCCCACAATAATTTTTTTTATATTGCTTGTTATGAATTGCTGGCTAAAAGGATGATCAAAAAATGTTTCCTTAGGAGAAAGTTAGTGAAGATTGTTATATCTCATCATGGAGCCCTTAAGCCCTTGTATAAGAGATTATTAAAATGTTGTTACAGGTTAAGCCTTCTGTGTTACATTTTGTTAATATCGGTTGCCTTCTAGGTACCTCCCATGAGATTGGGTGTGCTGGTCCTGGTTTATAAGAGTTATAGAGTTTGAGACAACAGTGTTAAAGAGCTCTGGTTATTCAGTTATGGTCCTTCTCCATCTGATTGGATTGTAAAATTAATCTGGATGCAGCATCAAGAAACTCAGAGTCCAGGGAGCTTACTTGGCAGCCCTAGAGAGACAGCAAAGCAAGAGAGTGCTTCTCTACCAGCAGAGGGCAGTCCTCTCTAGCAGTCTGGGCTGGCAGAGGCAACCTATTCACTCAACCAAAATAAGAATCAGTGAGCCTGCTCTTTCTCTAAATCAGAGGGGATTCAGGGCAGGGATGATGCCCACCTGTGTGGTGCCACTGTGGAATTGCCTGATGCTGAGAGAAGTGCAGACTTGAGCTGTGCATAAGTATGAACTGAGTGCCCTCTGTGTAAGCACTAGTGCGGGGCTAGGATACAGAAGAGGTGGAAGAAGAGGGAGTGTTTTGTGCTGAGTAAGAATAGGGTCTGAAATACCCTGCCTGGCTTTCAGATCCAAGTCTTACACTTCCTATGTGCTCTTGGGCAATTTACTCACCCTTTAGAGGTTGTATTACTTTCTTTAGATAGCAAACATCTTTGTTATCTTTGACAAGCCCTGGCTGTGTTCAGGGCTTGCTCTGGCCATGCTCTGAGAACCATATGGGGTGCCAGAGATTGAACCCAGGTCTGCTATATACATACAAGGCAGACTGTTCTCTGTCTCCAACACGACACTTTTTCTTGTTGTAGTAAATAACTGCAACAAGGGGTTGTATTTATTGTGGTGTCAGGAGTAACAGCAGAAATTTCTGGGATCACACTCTGAGATATGGGATGGTGCCAGGGATTGAATTTAGAGACTTAAAGTGGATTTCATTTAAGCAAGGAGGGTGCCATACCACTGAATTGAGTTAACAAATAGTCCCCTGAGCACTGCCAGAAGTGATTACTGAGAGCAGAGCCCAGAGTAACCTCTGAGCATTGCCAGGTGTGGCTCAAAAACAAAATAAGACCAAAAAAAAAAAAAAAAAAAGAAAGAAAGAAAGAAAGAAAGAAAGGAAGGAAGGAAGAAAGAAAAGATACCTGAAATCTCCTTTGAAGTCATGAAAGATGAATATGAACTTATCAGAGGGTATCCTCTCTCCAATATGTCTCAGACACCTGATAGGCCAATTATTTTTTATTAAATATGTGTGTGAGGCACAATGAAAATCTGTTCAGTTTGTGTTAAGAAAAAGGAATATGGTGTTGATTGTTTACATGTATTGATTAGTGCCCCACCCTTTAGGCCTCATTTAATCTTAATTACCCCTTTAAATACACTACTCCTAAATTTGACCAAATTCCGTGTGAGGGCTTCAGCTTATGAATTTGGTGGGGGTAGGTAAGTGGGGTAAAGTTCAGTTCATTGTATCCTGATAGGAAATCAGAAATTTTCATATTTCTGTAACCTTTTCTTCTGCTAACCCAAATTGGCACAATCCTATTTCTTATTCACCATCTACTAAATTTTATTTATTTTACTTGTCACT